TTAGGGCAGATAGATAGATAGATAGATAGATAGATAGATAGATTGGGATATATAGATAAAAACAGATTGAACTAGATAGATAGATAGATAGATAGATAGAGAGAGAGAGAGAGAGAGAGAGATTTGAACAGATGGAGATAGATATATAGATATGTATAGACTGAAACAGATAGATAGATAGCTAGATAGATAGATAGCGATATATAGATACGAACAGATTGAACTAGATAGATAGATAGATAGATAGATAGATAGATAGATAGATATTCGAACAGATGGCGATAGATATACAGATAGATACGTATAGACTGAAATAGCTATCTAGCTAGATGGATAGATATTCATCGTCCAAGATATATATATACTGAGTGAGATAGATAGATAGATAGATAGATAGATAGATAGATAGATAGATAGATAGATAGATAGATATGTATAAAAATATACCTTATCCTCATAATCTCCACTTCCTATAATCTTCTCTTTAGATAGATAGATAGATAGATAGATAGATAGATAGATAGATAGATACCTTTGTATTCCATTTGTGAGATGTAAGTTCCCCTCCAGAAGCTTTTCCCACGAACCGCTTCTTTGTGGAACTAACTGCCAAGAGGATGCTTCCCTGAGCACTACAATATCAACCTGTTCAAGTCTAGGATCAACCCTATGAACTGTGACCCTCGCTCTTTAACCCCTATCTCGAGTGGCCCTAGGTCCTTGCAGAGTGTGAACATCATTGTAAAAAAGAAGAGGAGGAAGAAGAAAAAATATAATTAGTGATAACTCAGTTTTTCTCACTAAAACATTGTAACGTGCAAAAAGAAACAAAACAACTCATTTGCATTAGAGTTTCATGTTGGGAATAGTCGACTAGGTGCCGTGTCAAACTTAACCAATAAATATTTTTGTTCATGATTTCAGCCTAGAAATCCACAACCAGTGATCTTGTTAGATTTTTGTCAATACCAAATTCTTGCCATCAGTCTGAGAAGGGATGTGCTTAAAGTTTCATTTTATGATTACATAGAACCCTATTTTCCTTTTGTTGTTGGATATTTTTAACTCTATTTTTATTATCCCAAACCTTATTTCATCTTATTTGTGTAGACATAGATCCTGTTACTACTTCTTCTTCTTCTTCTTCTTCTTCTTCTTCTTCTTCTTCTTCTTCTTCTTCTTCTTCTATGTGCCATGTCCGTTCACGACGTGGACGATCAGTATAGATCATATCCTCCTTATTTTCATAGTCTTCACATCCTGTAATCTATCAAAAATAATATCAATTTTGACGTTATATTCGATTTGTTGTTAGGCGTTTTTTTTATTTTCTCCTTTGTTATTGCCAGCATTTTAGAATACTTTGGCAGCAATTCTAACTTTCCCAAGATGAACAAGAAATATTTGGTCGTGGATTTCAGCGTAGAAAGTTCACAACCAATGATCTATCAGATTTTTGTCAATAACAAATCCCTGTCCTTAGTCTTTAAAGTTTCATTTTATGGTTATATAGAACCTTATTTTTCTTTTTTTTTGTTTGATTTTTTCGAAGTTGTTTTTATTTCAAAACTTATTTTAACTTATATGTATAGATGTAGATCCTGTTTTTATTTCTTCTTCTTCTTCTTCTTCTTCTTCTTCTTCTTCTTCAACATCATCATCATCGTCATCATCATCATCATCGTGTACTTGGACGATCATTGTCCTCCGTCACTTCCTGCTCTTTGTAGCTCTTAACCGTGTTTGTCCTTTTGCTACCTCTCCTAATCCCTGTTCTACAAACCATGTACACAAGCTCGATTGGTAGGCTATTCGCTGTTTTCTCCTTCCTTCTTTCCTGTTACCTTCTATCTGTTCTGTGTGTGTCAACTTTTCTAAACACTCTTTCCTCATTATGCGCTTCTTCTTTTTCCTCCTCTTCTTCTTCTTCTTCTTCTTCTTCTTCTTCTTCTTCTTCTTCTTTTCTTCATCTTCTTCTTCTTCTTCTTCTTCTTCTTCTTCTTCTTCTATTTGCCGTGTCCTTTCAGGAGGTAGTTGATCATGGTCCTCCATAATTTCTTCTCGTTTGTCGCTCTAAGTAATTTCTGCTTTTCTGCTACCTCTCCTAATCCCTGTTCTGTCAACCATTTACACAAGGTCGTCAAATAACTTACCATCTGTTTTACATTGCAGCTTTTGACATCAATGTATCCTGTAAGTATCAAATTCTTTAAGTACTCTCACCTCATTGTATGACTTAGGAATGTCAAATGTCTCATTCTGATTCTATCCATGTGCCATTTTTGTTTCCCTTTTTCTTAAAACTTCATTTAAATGTTCCAATTTGTGGCACCATATCTTGGAGAAGAAAAAATTCTGAACTCAAACCAGCCTGGAAAGGGATGAGTAACGTCAGTCTGTCTTGTCCAAGATACACCACTTCTGTTGTGAATAAATTATGTGTTGTGCTCCTTTGACTAATGATTTATGGGATTCGTCATTGTAATTTTAATTCACCAAGGCAATATATATATAATAATAATCGATCTATATCGCCGAGATTCGACGTATGAATAAAAGCAGATCAGTTTCAGGAAACCGACAGCCCGACACCGGCATATGATATATATGATTATAGTGGTGAAGGCCTCGTGCAGGACCATCCACACTTTTGAAGGGACGAATACAGAGACCTGGTGCACCGAATGCCACAAAAAAAAAACGACCATCCGCAGGTTTTGAATTCAGAGTTGTCCTTCTCCTAGTCCAGTTGCCATCCAAGGCTATAGAACCCAGTCTGTCCTGCTATTTACCCATAGCTGGAGGCAGAAAAGGATTTCATACCTTTTCCCAAGGGTATTAACACGTTTAATTGAATTTTAAAAAGCAGTGAAAAAAAGACTGAAAAAAGAAATCGTACGTGAAACCTTTGAGGCGCCTTTGTTATTCCAGGACAGAAAGTTAGAATGTTAGAGAGGGCGAAATCATCTTGTATAATTTGGAAAATTATCCTGGAATTATATATATATATATTTGATCATTATTTCAATCCTTCATGAGCTTCCGATCCTTAGCTATGATTAATTAAGGAGGAACATGTCATTTTCGTTTAGATCGATTTCATTACGATTCTTCTGTTAAACTTACAGGACAATTATGCATTCATCTTGATTAAAGTTGAGTCCAATAGTGTTATGAGAACCTCAGAGAGTTTATATATATATATAATATATATATATATATATATATATATATATATATATATATATATATATATAAATATATATATATATATATATATATATATATATATATATATATATATATATATATATATATAAATATATAAGTATCTCTTCAAAAATATTCAATACCTTACGTTTAAAATGAATTTTTTAAAATTCAAAAATCTTCCTTGAAACTTCTATTTTACTTTTAATTTCAAGCTAATAGATTAAATTCACCAGCAAGTCAGAACAGGAAAAGGATCATCATTTCAACTAAGAGATAAATAAATCAATTAGAAAAGATCCAACACAAATCATAAGGCTCTTGACACGTGAGAGATAAGTTTCAGCTATAACAGTTTCAGCTATAAAGATTAATACTCACAAGTCAGACACATCTACTGGATCTGACTATATCGCCAATACTACCAGCAGCTGTTCCGTAATTCTTCAGTCTTCGATATCAGAGGTTGGCAGTGAATATTTGGAAGAAAAAACATGCCTGCCTTTATATACGTCGCTTTGAATATTTAGAGCCTTCTGATTGGTTAACCCTTCTATTGTGGAACTATGAAATGAATCAGCTCATTTTGACTGGCTCACTAGTACTGGGCTACCCAAAAATTCCAACAATGCCCATTTAAAAATCTACGAGAGCTATAACTGCAGGAAAATCGGTACAGTTCTTAATGTTATTATTATTGGTATATGATGTATTAGTAGTAGTATTAGTAGTAATATTAGGAGTTGGAGGAGAAGGTGGCGGAGGAGGAGGACGAGGATGAGGAAGAGGATTAAATGGAAAAATGAAGACGAAACTGACAAGCAAATTCTCCCTAACAGAACGAGATATTTACTGTCGCCGATTTTAATTTATCGATTCAAAACAAATACATTCAAACATCCAAACATTTAAAATTAGAAACCATGAGAAAAATGACAGGCAGCATGTACGACCCACGAACACCGCAAGTCCTTGGGGGCTAGCCTGATTAAGCGCCCTATCTTATAAAGTATTTATATATATATATATATATATATATATATATATATATATATATATATATAAATAAATTCATTGAGTATATATAAACCTCCTGACAGATTGGGTTTGTTCAAGCAGACAGGGTCGTCGATAAATGGGACTGGATGCGCACTGCTGATGAGTCCCAATTTAGGTTGAAACGGCAGGTTTTCTTCCTCTATTTCTCTGTTGAGGTTTATATCAGACTCAATGAATTTATTTATATGTTTTCAAATCCTCCTACTTATTATATGTGTTTATCGTTGCTTGATCCGGCTCTAATGCTCCAGTTGGCGCGGCTTTGTGGAGAGTAGTCGTGAATGGGGGCACAGTCTTATGGTTATATAGCGAACTCAGGAGAGTTCCGCCACGGAATATGTGAGTGAGCGGCGCTATGTTGAGTCTGATATGAATCCCTCTGTCGAGGCCCGGTTGGTACAGTTGGTATGTTGTCTGCTTGACAACCCAACTGTCAGGGTTTCGATACCTGGTGGTGGATGCGCACTGCTGATGAGTCCCAATTATAGGACGCAACGGCCGTCCAGTGCTTCCTCTATTTTCCTGTTGAGGTTTATATCAGACTCAATGAATTTATTTATATGTTTATCAAATCCTCCTACTTATTTTTTTTTTTTATATATATATATATATATATATATATATATATATATATATATATATATATATATATATATATATATATATATATATATGTGTGTTATCTGCAGACAGTACAGGTTCGCTGTATCACAGCTCCTCACTGCGACTAGACATCCGAATTCTTCAAGCCAGGACCAAAACCCAACCGATTTGGTGTCAGTCGGAGTTTCTACCACTGAGCCATTAACACTCGGTAGAGAGAAACTGATAACTCTAACGTATTGTTTTTACGAATGTAAACAAACACCAGTCAGCCAGAGTGCTCCAATTAAGTTACTGAAGAGCTTTGCATTATATATATATATATAACATTCGTAAAAACAATATGCTAGAATTAGCAGCTTCTCTCTGCCGAGAAACATATATCATACTTATAAAACCCAGGTTGTGTGTGTGTGTCTGTTCGTTTATATATTGGATCGGATTTCCTACATTTTTTCAACCAATTTCAACAAAACTTCACAGGTCTAGGTAAATTTACCTTGCGGTGGTTCTGACAGCGCAAAAAATTGGAAAAACACAATTGTTTTTGCACGAAATCAAATTGAAAACACGATTAAGAGGCATCGCTCTTTCGAGAATGAAAGGGGGACAACTCATATCGAGTTATACTTATTATAATACCCAGGTTGTTTGTTTGTGTGTGTGTGTGTGTGTGTGTGTGTGTGTGTGTTTGTTTGTTTATATATGGGATTGGATTTCCTACATTTTCAACCGATTTCAACAAAACTTCAAAATTTTTTTTTGGCAGGTAGTGTTTCTTATTCTCTGGCACGCTTTTTTCTTTATTTTTACATACAGAATGCTTTAAAAATCCATTTACAGACAATTGCTTATAGTAAAATTCTATTCAATCGGTAAACTCATAACAATTGAAAACAATGTTTTTGTTTGAGTTTGGGTTTGAACAATTCGTAAAAAAAAATAAAAAAAATTAATTGAGACAGGCGTGTAATCAACCTTAAACAATAATCTTTGTCAATTTTATTTTTGAGTCTTTATTATGGTCGATACTTTATAAATATATATATATATATATATATATATATATATATATATATATGTATTCTACATTCTTTTATGGATTATTTAATTTCGGGTTATTCGCCGGTCTTTCTTCAATATCTCCCATCCATGTCTCTATTTTCCCGTCTTTCCTCTAATGATTGAGACATATTTCATTGAATAATTTCGAAAGCTTTGTCTAGTTATTTTCAGTTGGATCCTTCACCACAATGTCATCATCAGGATGTGCCAGGTCGAAAGTACTCAGAATAAAATATGTATCAACACGGTAATTTTCTCTCTTCCTTTAATAATGACACCAAAAAAGATTGTCCG